CAGCGCCGCGCCGCTGCGGGACCCGCTGCCCTCGGCTCGCCGCGCTCCTGCCCGGCCTGGCCCCGAGCGAGCGGGGTTGTGGGCGCCCGCCTTCGTGCCCTGCCTCTCCGCCGGGTCAGCCACGGTTACTCCGGGACAGCCACTGCTGGGCCTCTCCGGTCCCAAGTCCCGCTTCTGCGTCTCTAAGTGCACCCACTCCTCGCCTTTTCTTTGCCCGGCGTTTGTTCCAGCCTGAGCTCCTCGTTCAGCACCTTCCCTGTATCCCCAACCCGAACCACGGGGGGAAAACCCAAGGAAAAGGTACCCTGACAATCACAATCTCTTCGGCTTGTGCCTATGTTGTGCTTTTAGTCCTCTCATTTTCAGGCCCTCTCAGTGCACTGAGATGCTTCACCCCACCACGGCCAGGAAGGAGAGGCTGCTTTGTCTGCCTCGGGTTGGAGATGGAGGCTGTACACACACCGGCCGCTGCTGCCAGGCCAGGGCATGCGGTCTCTGCCCCTGCTCACGCCCTCTACACCCTGGCAGAGCTGCTGCACCTCCGTGTCCCCTCGGGCAAGGAAACCCAAGTGCACAGGACTTCGAGAGAGAATGGAGAGCAGGGTACAAGGGCCCGGCAGCTCATCTCCAAGAAGTCCAGCCACTCCCAACTTCCCTTTCTCCTTCCAGCCATGGGCTATATCGGGGTGGGCAAAGTCTGCCCTCCCCCCACGCAGACTCCACTTCACAGCAGCCCCTGCTCTTGTCGCTGTGGCCAGTTTCCCTGGATACCCCCAAAAAGCCAGGGCCAGGGTATCCATGGAAACCAACCCCAGCAGTGCTGGCAGGGCATGTGGCAGGGCAGGGAGCTGCTCCAGGCCCAGGATCCTATGGCAGTGACAGCGTGGTCCAGAGCTGCGATCTGCTGCCCACAGGCCCAAGGCAGGGGCGCGCAGGCAGCCGATCACAGCTCTGCTGCGGCTCCGGACCACCCTGTCACTGCTGCACAATCCCAGCCCCGGCCCCAGCCCCAGAGCAGCTCCCCATGGAAACCCTGACCCGTGCCATCAGGCTCTGCCACTTCTGGGATTTCCATGGAAACTAGCCGCAGCAATGCAGACATGGGCTGCTGGGAAATGGAGTTTGCCACAGGCCCGATCTGCCATTTTGCTCACCCCTGCTCTATATGCCCATTCTACTAAGATGACTCCAAAGCAGCAGTTGTTTCAAAAAGGGAGATCTAGGAGTCCTAGGAGAAGAGCAACTAAAGCACTGCTTTGGCTAATGCAGCATGCAACTAGAGACTTCAGAGATGGCATAATGCCTGGCAAATATTTGTCTTCACTTTGCCAATGCTTACTATGGATTGCTTCCATCAAAGGTGCAAGCATTGCTTCAGCTATAGCAGAATGTGCTCTTATAAGCACCTGGGTCTATACCTTAGCCTATCCTAACAATCAGAGACACATTTGGCAAGTGCTGGGGTGGAAAAGACAACTCCTTCATTCTTCTCTGCTAAGGCCCACATATTAATCTCTTTTATAGTTTTAGATCCTTGTATTGTATCAGGAAGAACATCTTGTCCATTTTGCAAGCAAGCCTGTCTCACTGAGGTTTTCCTACTAGGACAGAGGCCAGCAACCTTTTCAAACCATGGGCTGGAACAACCTGGCTCTGGTCTGGTGCCAGCCGGGTGGCTTTGGAGGTGGATCAGAAGCAAGGGAAGTGCAAGGGGGGATGCTGGCTGCACCTGTGCCAGAGCCAAGAAGCTGGCAGCTGTGCTGGAGCCAGCACCACTTTTCTAAACCCCTGGCTGAGCTGGAAGAGCAGCTTTCAGTTCAGGGGAGCTGCACCAAAGACAGGCAGCTGGGAACTGCATCATCCATGCAGCTGCCATCACTCCCCCTGCCTGGGCAGCATGGGCACCTCCACCCAAGGGGGAGCAGTGGAGGGGCTGGGCAGCTGAAAACTGTGTCCACAATACTGCCACTTCTCCATGCACCACCCCTTCCAGCTTTAGCTCAGACACAGCTGAAAGCTTCCAGGCCCCAGCTCCATCCCCCACCAGCTGGGGAGCAGGAGATGGGGAGAAGCAGCAGCAGTGCAGGCACAGCCTTGCTGCCCAGCACAGGTGCAGGCAAAGCAAAGTCTTCCAGCTCTGCAGGCCAGATCCAGTGGCTTTGTGGACTGGCTACAGCTTGCAAGTCATGTGTTACCAATACCTGGTGTAGTGAGAAGTAGGACCATTCACTCTACCTCCAAGAGCAATTCATTTTCCAGGCTGTGTGATGTAAGGAGCTTCAGGGAGGATAGTGGTCCTGAACTTGCAGAAGGATGTGCTTTGGTTCATGACAGATAACTATACAAAGCCAGGAGACTTCCAGGAGGCATTCTGCATCAGTTTGTTTGTTTTCTTCTCTTTCTCTTTCCTATTCTTTCAAAATACTGGCTGCCAATGGACATTAACCCCACTGACTTCAAAAAAAAGATGTGGACATACTGGAAAGAGTCCAGCAGAAAGCAACAAAAATGGCTAGAGGGTGACATGAGAAAAGGCTGAAAAAACTAGGATTAGCCTGAAGAAGAAGAGACTGGGGTGGGAAAGAAGGGGGAATCTGAAAATAGTTTCAAATACCCAAAGGGCAATTATAAAAAGGATGGAAATAGACTTTCCTGTGGCTACAGGGGACAAGAATAGGAGCAATAGCCTCAGACTCCAACAGAGGAAATATGGAGATTAGAAAGAACTTTTTATCTATGAGGGTGGTCAAGCATTAGAACCGGCTCCCTAAAGAAGTAACAGAATCTCCATCCTCGGAAATCGTCAAGGGCAGGCTAGACAG